GGACAGTGGCGCCTACGGTAGCCCCGAGCCCCCTCCCCGCCCCGGGCAGGCCAGAGCCAGAGCCAGGCCGGCCTCAGGGCCCCACGGCCCAGCAAGGGTCTGTCCCAGAGGCAGCCCTTCTCCGCAGCCTTCCAGCTCCGTTTCTCCGATTTTAGGAACACACCCAGGATGCATGGCCTCCGCCTTCTGACTCTCGGATTCCTTCAAGGGGAGTAACTGGTGTGAGCGTGGGCCTGCGGTCGCACAGAACTTGCCTTTAACCAATTCCCAGACTCCAGCTTCAACACCCGACACCCCGTAGCTCTCTCCCTCTTCCGGGATCCCAGCCGGGTCCCCAGACTCTCACCGAAAGTTTCACCAAAAGTGCAACGGTGTCTTAGCCAGGAGCTGCAAGGCAAGCCCAGCCGACAGAAGGAGCGACCCAGGCCTTCCCTCCCGCCCCCCAGAGCCTGGGGCGGGGAGGCTCCTGCAGCCCCTTCTGGAGGCCAAGGAAGCCTGGCACCTCGAACCCTACACACCCTGAGCGGGGGGCGTGGAACCAACTCCTGGGCTCTTTGCCGAGGGCCCTCTCTGAGCTCTGCGCTCCTGTGCCAGCTGCGCGGGTCCCGAGATCTGGGATGGGGGTCCCGCGCCTGGGCCCAGCTCACCTGAGTTTCCGTGAGGCTGAGGCTGTGTGCCAGCTGCTTCCTCTCCGCGCCCACCACGTAGTGGTTTTTCTCGAAGGCGTGCTCCAGCCTCAGAAGCTGGGACGGGGAAAAGGCGGTTCGGATCCGCTTCGGCTTTCGGGCCAGCGCGTTGTGCAAAAGGAAGCTCTCCGGGCTTGTGTCGTTCCCTGCGGGGGACACAGCAGAAGTCCCGTCAGAGGGGGCCGCCCTGGCCGGGCCGCGCGCTTCTCAGGAGACGGGGCCGCGGGACCCCGCGCTCAGGGCCTTTCCATAGCCCCTGCGGCTCGGCCCCTGGGGGCCGGGCACCCTCCCGAGTCGCGCTCAGAAGATACCGGCCCGGCTGCCCGGCCTGGACAGCCGGGCTCTACCTGTGCGGCACCCGCCCTGCAGCCGCCCCTGGGGGGCCAGTCCCCAGGCTCCTGGCCTCAGCGGACTTCGCAGCCGCCTTAGCGCGCTGGCCTCGCTACCGAGCACGGGGGACAGAGGCCGGGGCACCAGGGACAGGCCCGGGCATGGGAGCCCATGACCCAGAGAAACCGCTTCCTTTTCTTTCCAACCTCCCCGGGAACTCTGAGCGGGAGTGGAGAGGCCACGGACCGATACCCAGAGTTTTCTCGAGAACTTATTTTCAAATTATGTACTTTAAGTTTTTCCCCTCTGGAAAACTGCAGAGGCCGGGCGGGTCTTTAAGCCCGACTGGGACCGAAACGTCGCTGACGGGTGCGCGCCCTGCTTCTGCCGCCTCTGCGTCCCGAGGACCCCGCTCCCCCGCTGCCCGGCTCCAGAGAACTGGGGACGCGAGCGGAGCGATCGAAACCCCGAGTCAGCGCGCTGCGCGCGCCCCGCGGCGCTGTCCGAGGCTCCAGACGATCCCGGCTCCTCCCGGCCCGGGGCGGGGACCACGCGCGGCGCCGGCAGGGAGCCGGGAAAAGAAGCCCCGAACTTTGCGAGCAGAGCCAGAGTTTCGGGTTTTCTCATTAGGGTGGGAAATAAATAAATTCACTAAAAGCCCAAACAAAGAAAAGCTAACTGACAGTTCGGGTGGGAACCGAGGCAAATCTGATCCGGGAATTCAGGCGAACGGTGGTTTTTGTTTTGTTTCATGTTTTAAAATTAGGGGCGGAGTGGCGCGCACCCGGTGAGGCTCCGGCAGGAACGCCAAGGGTTAACGAGCGGACCCGCGGCGGAGGATCGATCGCGGCCGCGGGAGGTAGGTCTTTCCGCGGCTCCGCGCGCTCCGCTAATTACTCGCCGCTTTTCCTTGGAGTTCTAACTTTCTTCCCACCCTCACCCAGAGAAAAACAACAAACAAACCAGAGTAAATAAATAAAATGGCAAGAAAGGAAAACACCCAAACAGGATCTTCTCCAGTCCTTCTCCAGACTCGGCTCATTTCTCTTATAACAAAAATAAATAAATAAAAAACAAAACAAAACAAAAAAACAGACCGAACCTGCTTTCCCGGCGCGGCCGTTCGGCGCCCCACTTCGGAGCGCCGAGCCTCGGAGGTTTCAACCCGCTCGGATTCCCGCCCCTCCGGGGCCTCCAAACAGCAGGAAAAAACAAACCCCGTGATTGTGCCCGGGGCGCGCGGGTCCCCTCGCCGCCCGAAGAAAGTCGGAGGCCGGGAAGTCCTGGGTCTAAGCGGAAGGGACGCGGAGCGGGTGGCGAGCTGGGAGGAACGCGGCCCACGGCGCCCAGCGGCCGGGCCCAGTCCTCGCCCCTTGGAGCCGAGGCGGCGAGCGCATCGCCTGCATCGCCGAGAAGACGCAGAGCCTGGGGACCCGAGGGCTGCGGGACGCCTCGGCTGCCCCGGCCTGCCTGGACCCGAGCGCGCTCGGGAACAACTTGCGGCCGCAGTCCGGTCCCCAAAACTGGCCGCAGCTTTGGCAGCTGGGGACGAACACCAGGCCTGGCCCCTCGCCGCCCAGTTTCCGAACAGGGCGCGCGGCCCGCCAGCGGGAGGAACCTCCGCGCAGGCCTCGCCAAGCGCCCACCGCGAGCAGGCCCGGGGTCTGCGGGATGCGGCGCGCTGCAGATCCGCGACGTGGCACGTACCTTGGAAGCGATGGCCCAGATACCGGTAGCGGTGGATGAGCCACGGGTAGAAGGTGGACGGGTCCCGCTGCTGCGAGGCGAAGAGGGGGTGTGGCGAGTGCGAGGAGGGCAGGGGGTGGGCGGCCAGGGCGTGCGGCGGCGGCACGGGGTGCACCGGAACGGCGGGGTTGGGCGGGTGCGAGACCGCCTCGGCGAACACCAAGTCCGGGTTGGAGTAGACGCCCCTGCCGGCGGCGGCGGCGGCGGCGGCCGAGTGGAAGCCGTTGAGGAACGGGTTGATGGGGCTGGAGTTAGCGTAGCTGAGCGCCGCGGGACGGATGGGGTCCTCGGAGCGCGAGGCGGGCAGGGGACTGTCCTTGGCCACCAGCGATTCGATGGTGAAGCAGCGCTTGGGCGCCGGCTGGAACATGCTGCGCCGAGGAGCTGGCGCCCGGGGCTCCCCGCTCGCGGC